TTTCATTTTTTCGATATTCTTTTATTGTAAAACTTGCTTTTGATGAAAAATGGGCGAGATCAGATGCCCTTTGATATAATGGGAACTGAGAAATAATAATTTTTTATGAATTATGTTATTCAGTCGATTAGGTCTAGATTATAAAATATATGAATAAATTTCTATCCTTCTGAAAAAAAATAGCTTATGATGAGGATGCTAGAAAGAACGAGATGTGTTCTCTAATATATTTTCTTTAATCAATTTTGGTTTACTGCTTAGACTACAAGCTAGTTTGATGCAACTCAATCTAATTCCCTGTTTAAGCACATGTTCAATCCCTTATTTGTATTCAGACACTAATTTAAAAGCCATTATTTTGGAAGCTATTGATTTGGTGGATTGCTGATTTCTAGTGTTAATTCCTCGGTTATTGTTGTTAGAGTTGGTATTTTGTTGGCATGACTGTTGGTTCTTAATTTGCTGGAATATGTTATCCTGTACTATAGCATTGTATCTGCTTTTCTAGTGCCATTGTTCTCTTTGTGGTTCTGTATTTTGTTTCCTTAAATAAATCTGTCATGTTTTCCTATTTTCTTGATATTTTACTGTAGTTGGGGGTTCATGAATCCTCTAATTTTTATCACTGCATTATAATGCAATATGAATATTGGCTAATTAGCATACCTGATTTGTGAATAGGGATTGGAAATTTGTTTTAAATGGGAATCATAAATTGCTAAAATCGAGACTTGTAGTTGCTAACTAGATTTTAAGATTATGGTAAACTACTAAGTTTTTATTATTGGAGGTCTTTAGGCATCTAAAATATATTTAATGTTTAATACAAATTCCATTTTTCTCTCAAACGTGCTTGTGATGTTTGTGAATTCTTCAAGTTTGATGACAATTTCTGAATGAAGCTTTCTCCTTGTATTGATGTGAGGCTTTGATTAATACTTTGGTGGTTTCTTTCATTTATCTTTCTTTTCATTGTTTTTAGTTGGTTTGCTTGTGATAGTGATTTGGTCAACGATTTTCCTTCTTGCAATGTGAATTAAATTCATTGCTTGGTTTCATTTTGATCTCAATATTTTATTTGCAAGATTTGAATTTTGGAACTTCTTTAAATTATTATTTGGAATGGGTTTACCAAATGTTTTGATTGGCAGGAAAGTGATAATGCCATTTCCTAATTGAATGTTGGTGGGTTGTAAATTTAGATCTTTTGTGCATGTTAGTTCATGAGTTCATCCAATCCTAGATTTGTATTAAGAAAAAGAAAATAATAAATGATGTATCTAATTTGGTACTAGGGCTTATAATTGCACCCTCATATTAACCGGAAATAGGACATAATAATTAGGTCTACGCAGGAATAATAAATGATGCAATTTTAGTGAGATTGAGTACGCTTGGTCCTAAACAACTACAACGTGATTATCATGCATTTCAAAATTATATTCCCGAATTTGATGAAAAGTAAAATTTTAGACAATTTTCAATTGGATCAATAATTTAGAAGATTTATTTGAATGTTAGTATTTGTTTGATTTCGAAGGAGTTGATGCTCAATGAAATTAGTGAGACATGGTTAATATTATGGGCAAAGCATTTCTACAAAACTCACATTGGATAATATATTAAACTTAACTATAGAAATATTTTTTCTTATTTTGAGAATATAGGGACCAGTTGCATGAACAATTTAAGCATTAAAAATAAAGTGAATATGAGTTTAAATATTATGTAAGGTTTGCATGTCTTGTATCTGAAGATTATTTGCTTCTTTTTTTTTGTTATCATTGTCTATTTCATTAAAGCTCTTAGACAGTAGATTAGGAATTAAGTAAGCTATAATTCACCAAACCTGCTATGAGGCTTTATCTAGGTATTTGAATATTGAGGTATATTACAATTATTATCTTAGAACTATCTCACTTGTAACTGAAATCCCTTAAAAAAGTCATTAGCTACTCTTAAGCTTGTCAAAGACATATCGATATAAGAATCAAGTATTATTGAGAAAATTATAATTTTTTAATATTCTTTTGATAGTGTATCAGATTAAAAAAATGATTTGCAATTGCAATGTTAGTCTATGTCTACAACAACAACAACAACAACGCTTGTCAAAGACATATCGATATAAGAATCAAGTATTATTGAGAAAATTATAATTTTTTAATATTCTTTTGATAGTGTATCAGATTAAAAAAATGATTTGCAATTGCAATGTTAGTCTATGTCTACAACAACAACAACAACAACATTAAGCCTTTATCCCACTACGTGGGGTCGGCTACATGAATCATTTTTCTCCATTGTGTCCTATTAAAAGTCAAATTCTCGTTTAAATCTAATAAAGAAAGGTCATTCCTAATATTTTCTAACCAAGT